AGTCCCCTTCCAGGACTGCCAACATACATTCAAACCTGCAAAAGAATCAAAGGTTAATATAACATATCAATATAATGAAACATAATATTGGCATCATGGCCGCTACAGGCAGCCAAATCTTTTGTTACTAAACATGTGATCCTATAAATTGTCCTTGTCTCTTTGGAGCCATGTCCATGAAGATGCAGGCATTATATAAGTGTATTACACAGTATTGTGGGGGCTCCTGGTGGCAGGAGTGATCGCGAGCAATGTTACCAGCATTAGGCAGGTCGAGCACGCCGTAACTTGAGCTTGAGCAGGTTGCGTTGATCTCGATCGACTCTCCATTTGATGACGAAGTCTTCCCGGATCACGGATGGGTCCGCTGACTGGACGTGAGTGTGATGGACCCAGGTTGCGACGCCGTCTACCTTGAGAGTGGTGGGGGTTGTCAGCACCACAGTGTAGGAACCCTTCCAACGTGGCTCTAGGGTCTCCCAGCGGTGCCTTCTGATGTAGACCCAATCTCCTGGTCTGTGCTGATGAGGAGTTGGGGTTGGGCCAGTCGTGTAGATGGCGTGGAGGCACGGCCAAATGTCCTCGTGCACCCTCTGGAGCCCTCTCAAGGAAAGAGTTATAGAAAAGGGTTTTATAGGGGGTGGCCTGCCAAACATGATAGGAGAGCCACCCAATCCCCGCCAGTCTCCGAGTCAGATTCCTCCTCTCTTGGAGAACTTCAAAGTCCTGATGGCTTCTAGGTAACCCTGTTTATTAGTTACAGCGCTCTGCTTTCTTGCCTTTCTACCAGTTCCCTTTGTGGCAGAGCAGCAACCAGGCCTCTTTCAAGGGAGTGCGCTAGAAGGGGGTATCAGCCCCTCCTTTGCTAGCAGCAACAAGTACCAAACCCTTTCAGTACATTTGACCAGCTTCATTCCCGCCCACCTTTACAGATTCTAAGGCCCATTGTCTTCCTTTAACCAGCAAGCCAAATGACACTGGCCTGTACTATTTAATTCAGCACAGGCAGGGGGAAGGGCCCATGAAATCTCTGCCCTGAGGAACTGTGAGCCCCACCCTTAAATGTCCCAATCAGACTAGAAAAGCCACAAATACCTTTTAAATCTACCCCAGAATTCCAAAAGCCCAACCCAGCACAGAATATCACATAGCAAATCAAAGTTTCCAGCAAACAAACAGACAGAGATGTTTACTAGTTAGGCTGGCCAATTCCACCTCTGACAGAGAGCAAGCGCCCTTGGGGAAAGCCGCTCGGGGCGCTTTGCTTTCTGTCAGAGCACTCAGCCTCAAAGAAATCAAGCATGTGGTGTGTTCCCCCCCCCCCGCCCCCCGCAGACTTCCACACTAACAAATAATTATACCCAAGTAAACATACAAACATCAAATAAATATTTACACTTACACCCTTTCAGTGAACAAGTACTTTTACAGTCTTGGGATCTTGAGCAGATAACAGGAACCCTGCCCAAGTCCCCTGATGGGGGCCTGACAGGAACAGACGTGGGGGCCTCCCTTTCTCATGTCCCAGGACGGGATTCTTGATCTATGTCTCATCCAGATAGAAATGGTACTCATATTGAACAAGGAAATCAAGACTAAATAGACACGATGACTAGATACATTCCCCATTAAGAACTTTGAGGTGCATGCCACATTTATACCACAAAATACCAACAAATCAGTTTCAGTTGTGTTGAGATACAGAACAAGTCCCTGAC